CAGGGTGATGGTGACGGACAAGATGTTTCTGAACAGAGTGGTGGTGACGGACAAGGTGCTTCTGGGCAGGGTGATGGTGACGGACAAGAAGTTTCTGAACAGAGTGGTGGTGACGGACAAGGTGCTTCTGGACAGGGTGATGGTGATGGACAAGATGATTGTATACAGGGTGACGGTGACGGACAAGAGGTTTCTGGACCGGGTGATGGTGACGGACAAGGTGCTTCTGGACAAAGTGATGGTGACGGAGAAAGTGTTTCTGGACTGGGTGATGGTGACGGACAAGGTGCTTCTGGACAGGATGATGGTGACAGAGAAGGCGCTTCTGGACAGGGTGATAGTGACGGACAAGGTGCTTCTGGACAAGGTGATGGTGACGGACAAGGTGCTTCTGGACAAGGTGATGGTGACGGACAAGGTGCTTCTGGAACAGGTAATGGTAACGGACAAGAGGCTTCTGGGCAGGGTGATGGTGTCATCGTTAATTCTTGCACAATAGACAGCCTTCCTCAAGAACTACTGAACATGATAGTAGACTTTTCATTAACAGGTGAAAGACGAGAAATAGTGTCTTCTTTTAACTCACTATGTCAAGTTAACAGCCGTCTCCGAGCAACAACAAGGCTATATTTKTCACGCTTGCCACAARTGCATTGTACCAGTGACAAGAWGTTTCCAGACAGCTATTACAGCATGAGAAGTTTTTGCCGCGACAGGGGTAGAGCAAGTGGGTTAGTATTATTCCTAAAGGAAATAATCCAAAGCTCCCATTGGTTCAACGCATGGATAAGACTGCTTTACACTGGGAGCCGTGGTTGGTTCTATGTCCGGAACATAGCTTGGAAGCGTCATAAAAAACTGTAAAAACGAATAACTTAATGGCTTGGCTACCAATTACTCTAAAACTAAGGCCTCTTAGCTATAGTAACTGTTAACTTTTATTTGAAATTTTCCTGGCTAAAACCTAAAACCTTTTGCTAAAAAAGAGTCCGTTAAGAATTTGCTGTTTATATATTTTGTACTTTGGTAGATGTAAATTGATGCGAGCAACGTATTTGAAAACAAACAAAAAACGAAAGTAATGTAAGTCTAAACGGGCAATGTGCAAAAGATTTTAGCACAAAATATATAATCAACATAAAACTGTTAACAATAAGGCAGTACAAATGGGCGTTTTTCGATTACAACATTTGCAGAGACTGCCTCGCTAACAGCTAATTGTAAGATGATGAAATACGCTAATGCGATACGCAGGCTTTTAACATTTTGATAATAACTTTTTCTAGTGAACTATTAAACGTAGTCTTTTTTGTACGAGGTTTCATAAAAGAGATAGAATGAAAATCGGGTTGTTACATGGAAAAGCGTAATAAAGTCCTACTGATCACACCGACAGTCTGGGTAAGGCTAAGTAAAGGAGCCCTTTTTTCAGAGTTTCCGCTGACAGAGATTATGTCAGGGTGTGATAAAAACCGGCTTTG